TCCCCCAATTTCTGTTTAACAGGGAGTTTTTTTCACATATTTCTAAACATAATAGTTTTAATAACTCATCTCTAATAACTGATTTATTTTATCTTTGCCATGATGACAATAAATAATATTTTACTAGTTATTTTTCAAGACACTTATACAGCTTAAAGTGACATTTAAAGGCTTAAATAGGTTAGCTAGGTTAACTAGGCAGGTTAGGGTAATTAGGCAAGTTACTGTATAATGATAGTTTGTTCTGTAGACAGTAAAAAAAAAAAAAAGCTGAAAGTGGTTAATAATGTTGACCTTAAAAAATGTAATAAAAAAAATAAAACTGCTTTTATTGTAGCCAAAATAAAACAAATTAGACTTTCTCCAGAGAAACTAAAGCAAACTTTTTGTGCATATGCATTGTAGGCTATACTTAATAGAATTAGCATAACAGATTCAAGTACTTTAGTTCAAATACTATAAAATATTGTAACATGTGGGTATAGAAAGACTTACAGAGAAATATTGATAGATGATCCCTAAGATACGGACAGAAGGTCATAATCACAGGTAGAAAATAAATGTGTTTTGTGTGCAAATAGATTGATGGACAGACAGACAATCCGAGTGCAATTAAAAATTTAAAATGCATGGGGGAAAAAATTCTTTATAGTTATAGTAAATGTTTTTTGAACCAATGAACACATTCACAATGGAAAAGTATTTGAATTAATCTCTTGTGATAAATCTTTATATGGTAAGAGGCTAATTTATTCAAATTACCCAATGTTGTACTACATTTTCTATAGGGTATATATTAAACTTCACCTCTGTTTACTAGTAAAAAAAAATACTACAGCAAACATTTTTGTGTAGTATATGTATAATTGCAGACTGTTTTGTTGACCTGATTGGGTAATTTGCTTATTATATAAAAATGCTGGATTCCACACAGTCCATTCATGTTGTACCAACACAAATCGATTAAGTTAACTTAATACTTTTAACAAATATATGTGGATTGAAAACTACTGTACTACATTTTTTTAAAAATACACTACAGTTTAATGCAGTAAAAAATAAAGCATATATCTCCTATTTCAGTGTATCAAGTCCTTATTAACAAAGTTTACACTTTACTGTATGGTTCAAAAACATCATAGAAGGCATATATGCGAAACATTTATAGTTTTAATTTTTATTTATTTAATTATTTTAATGTGCACATAGATTTAAAGACTAGAAAGAAAGAAAGAAAGAAAGAAATAATAATAATAATAATAATAATAATAATTCATTTTATTTATAAATGGCGCCTTTCTGGACACCCAAGGTCGCCTTACAGTAAGCATCATCAGACATGCTAAACAACTTAAACATTACTAAAAACAATCAATGACCAAACAAGTTAAAACGCAATAGCGAAAAAGAACATAATAAAAACATGATAAAAAATTGTTAAGTAAAAGCCTGCTTAAAAAGATGGGTTTTTAGACGTGATTTAAAATTGTGAAGACTATCACTGCTCCTAAGGTCTAATGGAAGTGAGTTCCATAGCCTAGGAGCCATAGAGCTAAAAGATCTGTCTCCCATTGTGCTCAGTCGAGTGCGAGGTGGTGCCAGAGTGAAGTTGTTAGCTGACCTAAGGGTACGAGAAGGGGTGTAGATATGGAGAAGTTCAGTGAGATATTGAGGAGCGAGATTATGGAGTGCCTTGAAAGTTAGAAGTAATATTTTAAAATCAATTCGATATTTTACTGGAAGCCAATGAAGCTGATAGAGAAGTGGTGTGACGTGCTCGTGAGATGGGGTCCTAGAGATGACACGAGCTGCATGGTTCTGAACCAGTTGGAGTTTATGGAGAAGTTTGGAAGGAAGTCCAGAAAGAAGTGCATTACAGTAGTCAAGACGTGAAGTAACTAATGCGTGGATGAGAATTGCTGTGTTATTAGTTGTGAGAGAAGGGCGGAGACGAGTGATATTACGCAGGTGGAAATATGCAGTACGTGTAATATTATTAATGTGACCTTCAAATGAGAGTGTGCTATCCAAGATGACACCCAAACTCTTTACCTGCATGGAGGGAAAAATTGTACCGTTATCAATGTTTATAGTGAATTTATCAGCTTTATCCAAAACACTTTTAGTGCCGATGAGAAGGGCTTCAGTTTTGTCGCTGTTTAATTTTAAAAAGTTAGCTGAAAGCCAGATTTTTATTTCAGCTAAACATCTGCTCAAAGCAGGAGGAAGAAAAGAACAGGAGGGCTTGGTGGACAGGTAGAGTTGAGTGTCGTCAGCATAACAGTGAAATTGTATGTTGTATTTTCTGAAAATGTGACCAAGAGGCAGTAGATATATGATAAACAGGAGTGGACCCAGTACAGAACCCTGTGGGACACCAGTAGTGACAATCTGCGATCTTGACTTAAAATCTTTAATTTGAACAAACTGAGTACGATCTTCAAGATATGACTTCAACCATAAAAGAGGGGTGCCAGAGATCCCTAGTGAGGCAAGCCTATTCAAAAGAACCTCGTGCGAAACTGTGTCAAAGGCTGCACTCAAGTCCAGGAGAATAAGAATTGACAGTAAACCAGAGTCTGCTGCCAATAGTAGATCATTAGTGATCCTGACAAGAGCAGTCTCAGTGCTGTGGTTGGGACGAAAACCAGACTGGAAGAGCTCAAACAAATTGTTATTAGCAAGGTATTTATGGAGTTGAGATGCAACACATTTTTCCAGTATTTTTGAGATAAATGGCAAATTGGAAATTGGTCTATAGTTGGCCAAATTGGATGAATCAGCTCCAGGTTTTTTTAGTACTGGGGTGATTACAGCAGTTTTAAGTAAAGATGGGACAGATCCAGAATCCAGTGATTTGTGAATAATGTTAGTAATCAGTTTGGACAATAATGGAAGACAGGTCTTAACTAAGCATGTAGGAAGTGGATCAAGCAGACAGTTGGTAGTTTTAGATTTCTGTATATGACCAACTATTTCAGCAGTAGATGGTAAGGTAAAAGTATCAAAAGAGAAATGTGTGATGATTTCAGAAACATTTTGGCTGAAGTCAGGGGCTGAAATATTTGTATGTAATTGATGATGAATGTCCTCAATTTTTGTTTCAAAAAAAGACAGGAAGCTGTTACATAACTCAGTTGAAGAAGAAAGTGATGTGTCAGGAAAACTTAATGATTTTTTAACTACAGAGAAGAGTAATCTAGAGTTACCCTGACTAGATTCTATCCTGTTAGCATAATAGTCAGATTTTGCTTTAAGTAATGCTTCCTTATAATGATGAGCATGTTCTGTAAACATTTCTTTGTGGACAGTTAACCCAGACTTCTTATACAACCGTTCCAACCTGCGACCTTTAGTTTTGAGTTGATGCAGATCAGAAGTAAACCAAGGAGCAGAAACAGAAAAAGAGACAGTCCGGGTTTGTAAAGGTGCAAAAGTGTCCAAAATTTCAGATAGTCCATTATTGTAAATAGACACCAGAGCATCAGCAGAAGATGAGTCCACATTGTATGCAAAACTATTAAGTACATCTGAAAAATGTAATAAATCAATGTTCTTAACGTTTCTAAATTTGATTGTCCGGGGTGACTGCAATTTAAAAACTGCAAGCTGAGCACAAAAAGACACTAGGAAATGGTCGGATATAAGAAGATCAGAAACAGTACATTTGTTAGGGATTATTCCAGAGCAACAGATGAGATCAAGGGTATGGCCTTTAGTGTGTGTAGGGAAATTAGCAAATTGCTGCATTCCAAAGCTGTCCAAACAAGATAAAAAGTCGATTGTATTAATATTGTTGCCAGCATCAATATGAATATTAAAATCACCCAGCATAATAACATTAGGAGACAAGGAGCACAGCTCAGTTAAAAACTCAGAAAGTTCAGTTAAAAAGGTTGAACTGCTTTTAGGAGGACGGTATATTGTAGCAAGAATAGTCGGAACTGCCCCATTAATTTTAATGATGACTGACTCAAAAGAGGGGTATTCAGAAACAGTTACTTGAGATACCTTCCATTTCTCCTTATAGAGTATCGCCACGCCCCCTCCCCGTCCAGTAGTGCGGGGTTTACAAATGTATTTGTATCCTGGTAAAACAGCTTGGTTAAAATAAAAGAAATCATCATGTCTTTGCCAAGTTTCAGTAAGACAGAGGAAATCAAACTTATGGTCAGACAGTACGTCTTGCAGCAGATGACTTTTATTAGATAACGAGCGAATGTTGAGTAGTCCAAAAGATAGATTGTTTTTGCATGCTTCGTTGGAAGCGGAGTTTGCTGGGTATGTGAGTACATTACGGTCAATGGATCGTACTGACCTTGATGCCTGGCGAGGGTTAGACGACCAGAAAGACCGTATTTGGGATGAGTTGTCAATGTTGTAGGACCGTCGTGATCCTCGGTGAATATATCTCCGACGTGGCCGGACCGCGATGTCCGGATGAAAGCGCAGCGTTGACGGAGTCAGAAGTGGGAGCGGAGTTGAAGAAGTTCCTCTGCCGAATACTGAAGTAGTAGCTCCGCAGGGCGATATACAGCAGCGAGGAAGATCCAGAGTGTTATGACCTGAACAAGCAGGTCAGGAGCTTTCATTGTCGTTTCGTCTCTTCTCCGGGTTTGAGTTGAGTGACAGCTGCTGTGACAGGACTGTCACAAAGTCACGATAAGCACCAAAAGCAGACCGGTGCAGTGGAAAGTGCAGAGGTTTAGCATAAAGTGCTATGCGTTATACAGTAGATGTACTGTCAACTGTGTAGTCCAGACAGAAGTTCTTTAAAAAGTTCTTTAAAAATATTGAAAGAAAGAAAGAAAGAAAGAAAGAAAGAAAGAAAGAAAGAAATATAGAAAGAAAGAAAGAAAGAAAGAAAGAAAGAAAGAAAGAAAGAAAGAAAGAAAGAAAGTCATACAGACAGTCAGACATACAGACTAGTGCTTGTCAAGACATAAAGATGACGACGTGTGCTTGACGAGCATTGGAGGCGGGATCACTGAGGAGGATGTAGCTGCTGTCATGGCTCCCGAACCGCGTATATCTCAGTGCAATAGTAAAATCGACAGAAAAGAAATGCGTTGTCCTTGTTCATAACAGAAAATGCATTTTTGAAGAATAAGTATAGCTATAATACTTTAGCTTAGAACCGTTGCCTTTTAAAAAATCCCTTCGTGCGAGCGAGCTATGGATGTGCAGGTTGCAAACCATTGCAGCATCAAGTCTGCAGCCAAACCGAGCAGTCCGCAGAAAGCAGCTGAAAGTGGGACAGAAACCGCACCAAAGAAAAAATCGCGTACCAGAAGAGGCAAAAGAGGCAAGAGACGGAGGGGCAAGAAGGCCAACGAGCCCCCGCCATTTCTCCCGCCGGAGGTAAATAGATGTTTGCGGATGCTAACCTTAGCCGGCGGATTATTATTCCCTCTGTGTGTAGCAAAAAACGCAATGTCAGACAGCTGTAACACGATTTTTGTTGTCAGTGTTATGCGTTTCACATATTGTTTTTATTGTTAGTTATAACATTAGTAAGACATATTAACGTGTAACAAGCGAAATGCGTTTTAAATGCTGAAAACCTTGCTAAAATATTGTACAGGTAACGTTAGCCTGATTTGCTACTGTGAATACAGAATAGTAAAATATTAGTGGATTTAAAATGAAAATGCTGTCATACGTTCACTTATTTAAAACCTATTTGACTTTCTTCTGTGTAAAACAAAATAATTGTTCGTACACAAACTATTTTTTGAAGAAAACTGGAAACCTGTAACTATTGACTTCAATAGAATTTATTTTTCCTATATGTCTATGGTCACAGGTTTTCAGCTGTCTTCAAAATATCAACCTTTGTGTTCAACAGAGGGAAAAAAGAAACTCAAGGTTTAAAACTACACAACATTGAGTAAATAGTGAACACTTTTTCATTTTGTTTATTTTTTGAACAGGTGGCTAGTAATATACGAATGCAGATTAAGAATCAACATTACAGCACATTTTTCATTCCAGATAGGTTACAGTTGGTTAGATATAGTGTATTATTAAAATAATAGTAGGTCATTGGTGTTTAATTAGATTTATTTTTTATTTCATATTATTATTTTATTCATGATTGTTATTTAATTTGTATTTTTACCAAAACCTGTCTGGGGAAAGTTTTGGGTATTGGGGTTTGATTTATTGTAAAACCTTGAAAAGGACATTCATCATTCATTTTCTTTTCAGCTTAGTCCCTTTATTAATTTGGGGTCACCACAGTGGAATGAACTGCCAACTTATGTAACATATGTTTTACGCAGTGGATGCCCTTCCAGCTGCAACCCAACAATGGGAAAAACTTAAGACATGTTATACTAAATAATAGTAGGTGATAATATAGTAGTAATAAAATAGTAGTTAGGTAGTAATAATATGTTTTTAGACAGCAAAAATGTTTTGAGTGGGCAGTTTTTGTGTTTATATATTATATATAATACATATTGTAACTGATTGTTTTTTTCACTTTTAGGCTGAAGAGGGAAATATTGAATACAAGGTATGCAAACCTCACAAATCACAATCTGAAAAAGAGTGTGTTTACACTTGTCAGCAAACTGGTGTGCTTGCGCTGTTATTGTGAAATGATTGTGTGGTTCGACTAAAATATGAATTCAACACAAACCAAGGTGCAAAACTAACTGAAACAAAACATGATGTCAAAATCTGTGATTAAAAAGGACAGGACTCTGTTTTCTCTCATCATAACTGCATATCAAATCTGAAATATAAAGAATAAAAGAACATCTTCATGTACATTCACTCTTTTACCATGCTTTCATCCAAAGCAACTTATTTATAAGTGAGGATAAAAGAAGCCCTCCAGATCATCAGATATAACCAGTATAAAATGTTCTTAGTCTTGTTTATACTTATAGTAAATGTGTTAAAATGTGCTATAGTAAACAAAGTTTGCATATAAGATGACTTAAATGAAAAAGATCTTGTTAAAACATTTTAAAAATAACTTAAGTAGGTGATTGGAAATTATACATTTTTCTAATTAAAATACTGAAATAAAAAAAATATATAAAAATTATATATATGTATATTATGTGTGTGTGTGTGTGTGTGTATGAATATATATATATATATATATATATATATATATATATATATATATATATATATATATATATATATATATATATACAGTTGAAGGCAGTATTATTATTAGCCCCCCTTTGAAATTAATTTTATTTTTTTAAATATTTCCCAAATGATTTTCAACAGAGCAAGGAAATTTTCACAGTATGTCTGATAATATTTTTGTCTTTTGGAGAAATTCTTGCTTGTTTTATTTTAACTAGAATAAAAGTAGTTATTAACTTTTGAAAACCGTTTTAAGGTCAAAATTATTAGCTCCTTTAAACTATATATATTTTTGATAGTCTACAGAACAAACCATCATTATACAGTAACTTGCCTATAACCTAACCTGCCTAGTTAACCTAATTAACCTAGTTAAGCCTTTAAATTTCACTTTAAGCTGTATTGAAGTATCTTGAAAAATATATAGTAAAATATTACTTACTATTATCATGGCAAAGATAAAATAAATCAGCTATTAGAAATAAGTTATTAAAACTAATATTTACTATTAGAAATGTGTTGAAAAAATCTCCCCGTTAAACAGAAAATAGAGGAAAAATAAACGGGGGCTAATAATTCAGGGGGGCTAATAATTTTGACTATATGTATATGTATATGTATATATATATATATATATATATATATATATATATATATATATATATATATATATATATATACATATACTGTATAAATATACTGTATGTATATATATACTGTATATATATATATATATATATATATATATATATATATATATATATATATAATGCTATATAACAACTTAATTTATTAAATAATAATAAATGGAAGAAAAAAGATGTTCTCGTGTTTTTTTTATTATTTGAAATTTAAATGTTGTCAATTCTATATATTTTTTAAGATGTCTAATACATTTTTATTGAATCAAACATTTCTGTAAATATACATTAATACTTCATGATATTCTAAATATTTATATTTTCTGATATTTGGAATATTCAAATATGTATATTTCTATATAAACATATATCATATTAGAGAACAGATACAAAAATAATAAAAGATGTAATGCTTAATTGTACCTGTTTTTTCATATTGTAGTGTACCATTCAACGCTAGCCATGAAAATGTATTTCTTGCAGCAGATATTTGTGCTTTGACTCCTTTACATGTTTTGAGCAACACGTAAACACAAGAATATTACGTTTCACAATAAATATGTCATGTATACAATTTTGTTCTTTAGGTTTGATCTTAAATGTACAGTTCACCCTAAAAGGAAAATTTAGTCATAGTTTTCTCATTTTTCACTTGTTCCAAACCTGTTTGACTTTCTTTCTTCCATTAAAAACAAAAGAAGAAAGCTGAAAACTTGTAACCATTGACTTCAAAAGTATTTGTTTTCATCACAATGGAAGTGAATGGTTACAGGTTTTCAGGTTTTTTCAAAATATCTTTTTTTGGGTGTGTGTTCAAAGTTCATAAAGGGTTGGAACCATTTGAGGAAGGGTCAACAGTTTAATCTTGAGGTGAACTTCCCCTGTAAAAATGCTATCGTGAACAACCCTAAGTGAATACATTTTATTTTTTGGTCAGGACCAATAGAACCACACTACACACTTTAAATTAATATGGAGTTGAACTCACATTGTTTATTGGCGTATGAATTCTCCCCTCAGTTGAAACTGGTTAATCCCACGCAGTATCGGTTCGAGCATTTGGCCACACAGCTGAAGTGGCGTCTTCAGGAGGGCCGAGGAGAGGCTGTTTATCAGATTGGGGTGGAGGATAATGGTTTGCTTGTTGGACTTACTGAAGAAGATATGAAAGCTTCGCTAAAGACCCTTCGCAGAATGGCAGAGAAGTACGAGCTGTGTTCAGTCCATCAACTGGTTTTGTAAATGTTAAAAAATAGCATGTTTTTGTGTGTCGTATTAGTAAGGTTTTGTGATTTTGTGCAGGGTTGGAGCTGATATTACACTTCTCAGGGAGAGGGAGGTGGACTGCGACAGAGCCAGGAGAAAAATCGCTGAAGTTCTTGTGCGGAAAGTTCCAGATGACCAGCAGGTCAGCTTCCGATGGTCTTAGTTACTGAGTCGGTCATGTGACAGTTTTTAGTTTCAAAAATGTAAAGCACACACAAAAAAAAAAAATTAAGTTTGAACGTACAATAACCTGGATATATTATTAAAAAAAACAACTAATGTTTTAAACATTTACATTATTAGAAGTTTTTGTTAGAAAAAGTCTTAAATTAAGTTTAAAGATAAATGTATGCACGTTTTTTATTTTAATGTTAGTTTTAATAATCTTGTAGTTTGTTTTTATTATTATCATTATTATTTTTAGTTTAGTTTTTTTTTTTTTTACAAATGTATATATAGTTTTTAATTGTGGTTCTGGCTTTAGTTATTGGGACAAAAAATTGTCATTTTTGATGTGTTAAATAACAAGAATGTAACAAATAATAATAATTTTTTTTATTACTAAGAAATTTGATACTATTGATTTTTTATATTTACATTTTTTTAGTTTACATTTTATTTTAAATAAAAGTAAATAAAAAAATGTAAATATGTCTACATCTTTATATATGCTATAATGAAAAAGAAAACTTGAAATTACAGTGTTTCTGCTGGGTTTTAAAAATTTTTTAAATTTCTTAAATTTCAAAAATTTAATTTTAGGCCTTAAAAAAGTCCACTGAAATATTGTTCATTCATTCATTCATTCATTTTCTTGTCGGCTTAATCAATTTATTACTCCGGGGTCACCACAGAGGAATGAACCACCAACTTATCCAGCAAGTTTTTACGCAACTGATGCCCTTCCAGCCGCAACCCATCTCTGGGAAACATCCACACACACTCATTCACACAAACACACTACGGACATTTTAGCCTACCCAATTCACCTGTACCGCATGTCTTTGGACTGTGGGGGAAACTGGAGCACTTGGAGGAAACCCACGCAAACGCAGGGAGAATATGCAAACTCCACAGAGAAACGCCAACTGTGCCGAGGCTCGACCCAGCGACCTTCTTGCTGTAAGGCAAACATGCTACCCACTTCACCACTGCGTCGCCGAAATATTGTGTTGTAGGTCTTAAATTATTATAAATGGGTCTTAATTTTAATTTTAATGTCCATGTAAAGATATACCCAAGTGGGCCAACACCTATACAATCACTAATTATATACATTATTTAGAAAAAAAAAAAATTAAGAAATGTTTATTTATTAATTCTATTTACTTGTTCATATAGTTTAATTATCTTCTTTACAATAACATTTGTTTTTATTGTTTTTTTAAGGTTTTAAATTGGCCATTTAAAAACAATTAGCGTTTAGCCTTGTTTAAGTCTGAAATTTCATTTATTGTGGTCTTAAAGAGGTCTTAGAAGTCTTAAATTTGACTTAAAACCTGTAGAAACCCTAAATTATATTTTAGAAGTTCTCATAATTTGCCATTCTTTTTACATTATGGTTATTGAAAAACTTGACTCTATTAAACAAGTTTTAAAAAATTAAGTTTTTTTTCCATCACAATTTTTATCGCAAATAAAGAATAAATAACCACAAAATTACACTTAAAAAAATGGGTGCAGAAACAATTGCATACGTTTAATAAATTGCTAGTAATTTTCACAATTACAAATAAAAACAAGTGTCATTTCATATGAATATGACATTTTCACGTTTTGTACTTTCATGTAAAATTTACGCAGTGTTTGCTTTTATCGACCAAATTTAATATAACTTATTTTACCAATGGATGTGTTTGTAGTTTCTGGATCTTCGCGTGGCTGTTCTGGGTAATGTGGACTCAGGAAAGTCGACTCTGCTGGGAGTTTTGACTCAAGGTGAGCTGGATAACGGACGTGGCAGAGCAAGACTTAACCTCTTCAGACACTTGCATGAGATTCAGACCGGACGGACATCCAGCATCAGTTTCGAGATCCTAGGCTTCAACAGCAAAGGAGAGGTCAGGCAAATATTCCAAATCTTTAATTTTTGATCCACTTTCAGTATTGAATTAATATAAAATTTCAACCAACAACCTTCCTCATGCTAACATGTCGCTTTTTTATTTTTCTGTTGTTCTAGGTTGTAAACTACAGCGACTCCCGAACAGCAGAGGAGATCTGTGAAAGCTCTTCCAAGATGATCACTTTTATTGATTTGGCTGGTCACTATAAGTACTTGAAGACCACCATATTTGGCCTGACGAGCTACTGCCCGGACTTTGCAATGCTGGTGGTGGGAGCCAATACTGGCATTGGTTGGTATTTATGAATATGCATTTACAGTAGAGATCAAAATAAGAGTACTCTTCATTGTTCAAACATGTTATGATTTTTAAGTGTGGATACAACATGCTAGTTAAACAGTGTTTTAGAAAATAACGAAGGGACTTCATCAAAAACTGCCAAATATGATTGGGTGAAAATGATGTTTTTGGCAAAACAGATGAAAATATGAGCTGAATAAAAGGCTATGCAGCACTGCAGTGCCTAGCAGTACTCATTTGCTGGTTCTACGCTCCCTCCAGCTGTAGTCAGTGGGGTGTTAAGCGGCTTTCACACTGGACGAGGAAAGTGTTGCTCAATGAAACCCATTAATTGCAATGGCTTGTGCCATCCAATGGGAGTTTGCTGCTGAGCCAGCTAAATTGCAGAGCACAGAATTAGAAAACAGCAACAAATATTTCTGTAAGTTACAGCATCATCCAAACAATGACACTTCCTCCTCCAACTTTTAGTAAATTTATACACTTTTGGTGAGTTTTTCTCAGTTTTTTCTCCAATTTGATAATGAACATACCAGTGTTAATATCGTTATTGAAAGTAAACCGTAAATCGTTGGTTGCCTATAGCTTGACACAAACATAAACTTGATAAATGCTGTTATAATCCACTCCAATGAGCCGTTCATTAATAAAATAAGTGGATCTGAGTGCATACATACAGTAATGCAACTAATGCAGCTGACCTGTCAAGCCATTTTTATTGACCAAAAACTGGAACATACTGTTTCTCATCAGACTCAACTAAATAAATTTCACTTTTATAACTAAAGTGTTTTAGGATAATTTCAAATAGGTGTAATGGAAACCTCACTCCCCTGTTCTCAAAAGGTGCTCCAGTGACAGACGCTAGGGGGCGCTGTCTTTATGCTGATGATACACAAAATAACTTTTTGGGCAATGTTGCTTGGTTATTTTTCTATTACGAATAGACAACAGTGTTGTATCTGTAGCCTATTGCCCTAATTACTTACCCTGTGTCTTAAACGGTTGGCCATTATAAAATAATTTCCCAAAGTTGCCCTGCAACATTGCTCGAAAAGTTCCCCTGTGTATTAGTGATGCACGGATGGCGGCTATCTCCGTGGGCGATGCGGATAATCCGCGGGTTGAGTAATAAAAAAATACATCATGATTAATTGCGAGTGGGTCGTGGGTGAATGTAGAGGGACATGGCAGTAGACCAGCGAAAAAGCAGACAGTGGGCTTTGCAGAATGGGAAGATAAGACGCCCAAAATAATAGATGAGGTGCAAGAGTACTGTTCAAACTTTCAGTTAGAGGAGTCATTAGAGAAAAATCTGCAATCATTCTGGGAGAAACAAGATCGCTTATTTACACGACTGCAGCGCCTTGCGTGGAGAATCTTGTGCATTCCTACAACAAGCGGTGCGAGCAAACGCTCATTCAGTGCAGCTGGCTGCGTTTTGGAGGTGAGGCGGAATAGACCGTATGTAGGCACAGTAGATGCTGTTCTGTTTATGCACAGTGCAAAGAAAAAGGCCAAGTTAATATAACGTAACTGCCGTTTAGGCCGAAATGGCACCCTTTTTGTTATTTTGTTCCTGTATCTGTAAAAGCTAAAATGTCTTATTTTTACTTTCTGTATCTATTTGAAAATGAAGAAAATAGAATTATTTTTTTGTAAAAACTTTTGTTTTTATGAACAAATGTTCATTTAAAAACTTTTACAATTAACGTATTATTTTACTATCAGAGATGCGCAGATTAGCTCTGAATCTACTGTTATCATCCACATTGACCTATCATCATGCCTAAAACAAAGAATTGAATTATTAAAGTTACGATCGGGCGCGGGTCGGATGCGGATACATATATCAGATAAAACGATATGTGCTGAGCGGGTGGATGATTAGTATGAAGCCGCGAATTCGGGTGACATTTCAGCTGATCTGTGCATTTCTACTGTGTATCATCAGCATTAGTTAGCCTCTTCGTTAGAGCAACCACCTTCCATGAAAAGAGACATTGGTTCGATTTTAGGTTGGAGCGAGCGAGTGGTTTAGGACTAGTGGGTTAAATTGGTGCCGTGAGCCGGACAGGGGTGAGGTCTAGGGGGGTGAGTGTAACAGAGGCCAGCTAGTGAAGTGCTGTGCAAGTAGCACCGGTGGGTTACACAAGCAGTGATGTGGAATTTGTGCTTTAATTTTGATCTCCACTCTATATTGATTTAAAAGATGTGAATGTGATTTACGAATTTAGGTTGTTTAATTCCCTCAGCTGGCACAACTAGGGAGCACCTGGGTTTAGCGATGGCACTAAAGGTGCCCATTTTCATTGTGGTGAGTAAAGTGGACCTCTGTGGTAAAAGCACAGTGGAGAAAACGGTTCGTCAGCTGGAGAGAGTCCTCAAACAGCCCGGCTGTAACAAGATCCCCATGGTGGTGGCAAACCCTGATGACGCCGTCACCGCCGCACAGCAGTTTGCACAATCCTCCAGGTACATGTGTGCGAAGCGACAGGTTATTACACACTTTTATTTCCTCCCTTTGAAGTTTGCTTACAATCTTAGTAGGGATGTGCAGTATTTTTAAAACACATCTGATGGTTATGACATTGACTGTACTTTGAAACCTATCAAAATTCAGGGGGGGTAAACATATTACTTGCTTATAGTTGTTTTTATACTCATCACAGACATCCTTACTCATCAGTAAACCACTAAAATACAGAGTTTTTTTTCAGTAATTAATAATAAAGTTCAAAATTTAATGGAACATTTTTATAATTGAATAATCTTTGTTTTTATTTACTATTTTGAAAAATAAAATTTGTGTTCTCCCAACTATAATTATATATTTTTTTTCTTACCACTTTCCATGAGCCTTGTACCTTTAACACACAAATATGTAAATCCCTTAAATACTCTACAAAGCAACCCAGCGCTAATAATTTGTGTGTGTGTAATGATGTATCTATTTTACCGCAGCGTGACACCCATCTTCACCCTCTCCAGCGTATCAGGGGAGAATCTGGACCTTTTGAAGGTCTTCTTCAACATTCTTCCTCCATTGAGCAACAGCAAGGAGCAAGAGGAGCTCATGCAGCAGCTCACAGAGTTCCAGGTACACACGCTCAACATTCATTCAACAACATTTAGTTATTGTCTCAATTCTGGCATCGCATCATGTGACACCATTGCGTTCTTACAGGTGGATGAGATTTACAGTGTTCCTGATGTGGGGACAGTTGTTGGTGGAACTCTGTACAGGTCAGTCCACACGTGTTGTGTCAATCTTGTCTGTTTGGCTGTTTAAAAACTCCCTAGAAACCACCTAGAAAAACCAACAAACGGCATGCAAAATCAACAACTCAGCACACGTAGCAGCAACCTAGCATCTACACAATAACACCATCGCAAATGATCTCTGTAGCAAGTTTCTGGCAACTGTCTACCAAAAGCACTTGCAACCACACTTTAGGAAAGCATAGCAATCATCTTAGCAACCACATAACAGCACCATAACTATTTTTCTACACAAACGTGAAGACTGAAAACCTGTAACCATTGACTTTTATAGTAGGAAAATCAGATATTATAGAGGTGTATGGTTATAGGTTTACAGCTTGCTTTAGTATATTGTATTTTCCATTGTGTTCAAGAGAAGAAAGAAACTCAAACAGATTCGAATCAAGTTAAGGGTGAACAACCTAGCAATATTTATGTATTGAAATAACTGCTTACCAACCCCCAAATTCACTAGCCATAGAGTGGAGGAACAATAAAGTCACCTTGTAGGCTAATCGGCTGCTAGCATAAAACTAGTTCCCTCGATAAAATCCCTATTTGATATTCCCATAGGCTTTTTGAAGATTGCGAATAAGCTCTGTGTTCAAACACTGTTCTTTACACTTACACATTTTGTCCAACCAAATAATCCTCACACGAAAATACAACTTTTAGCACTTCCAGATCTTAAATGCAAACGCAAGAATTGAAAAGCTAACAATAGACTATAAATGGACTACAGTGCCGTCAGGACGCACGCCTGGGACGTCAGCACCACCCTGCTACTGACAACTTTTCAAGCTTATTTTTAGAATTGCGGTCTATGACAAAGATTTACTCATGGTTTATTATATTGTGATCCACGCTATATAATGTAAGAAAATAAATACACAAAAACACATAGACCTACGTGCCTTTTGGATATTTTTTTATGTGGGAAATTTGTTTTGGTTTACGGTTGTTAAAAAATTTTTTAAAACTGTATGTATAAATGTACACACATAGTATTATCATAAGACACATTTAAATAAGTGTAATTTTAAATGTAAAGTTAAATAAGTTGCCTGCACACAGCCTGCCCACCTTAGTACCACACGACAGAAAAGAGGTATGAAGGACAAGTTTATATACCTGCAAGTTCCATCATAGATAGAGAACAGCATTCAATATTCTTTTTCTTGTCATGAAGTACAGCAGAAAGCAGCTCATACAGTCACATATACTATACATTTTAAGGAAGAGTGTAAATACTGCAGTTATGACAGAGTTAAATGTGTTCAGATGTAGAAAAAAATGACTGTTAACATGCATGTATTTTTACACATTTATTCACACGTTTGCATTACTTAGAGCAAGAAAGAAAGTGGTAAGCATTGGTAAGCATTAACTTCATAATATTGTTTAATTAAAAAAAAAAGGGTCAACAAATTAATCTGTCTTGACCATCTATACAAGTGAAGGAATTATCTGCACACAATCTGAATTCCCAATTAAAAAAAAAAACAATTTAAACCTATAAAACAATACTTATGAAAAAGAGAGGGGGTGCTATTGCTTACAAATAACAGACAAATCCAAATGCCCAACACAAGCAAGCTATATTCCAGACAGGATCAGCTTGATGACGTATACTGTTTCAGACATAGCCTGTAGTCTCATCTAGCTACTTGATGTGTTATGTAGTGTTATGTTAGTGTTATGTAGCTGATGTGTTTTATGTCATAGAGTAAAACACGAAAGTATTTTAAATTTGTGTTTAACCAAAATCCCATTGCAAAAACCTATTGACTTTGGATTTTTGCAAACAAATTGACATCTTAGTTCCTCCTCTCTATAGCCTAGCAATCATTCAAAACACTTTTGAAACAATCCGAAACACTCATACAATATTTGTCCTTAAAATATCAAATGCAAGGAACCCCTTTAACCATCTTTAAAATTGCCAACCGTTATTGTAACAAACTCCCAGAACACCCTAGCCATGAAAGTCCTTAAAACAACAAAATTATATTCTGTAAACATTGAGTCAAAAGCAATATAATAGTGCAGTCTATAAACTGTAAAAAATGAAGGGTGCATTTACACATCCCATCCATGGGACAAAAATAAAACCAAAATATTCAAATTGGTCACAATATTTTTGCACTGATAACTTCACTGCATTAAAAATGATAGAAAATATGGATTTCGAAAAGTGTATTTTGTTTATAACCTATACTGCAGGCAGACACCAGGGGGCGATCTGAATGTTTGGCTTAACTTTTCATGATGTGTGAAACAACTCATTGATAAGTCGCTTCTAAACCAAACAACTTGAACCCCTTGAGAATTCTCCCTGGGAGAATATTTATACCTCTTTTGAAGTTCCCAATCATGCAGAATCCAATTGAAATGATTGGATTTCTCCTGGAGAGAACCATTTAAGTTCATCAAACTGCAGTTAATGTGACTGCACCTTAAGGCATGTGTAACCTTCACACCTCAAGGCTTTGGAAAGCAATCAATATTCAATTTGTCTCGACAAACTTCTCTTCTCAAGTTGATAATTGACTTTCCATTCACACGCAGTGGTGTGTGTCGTGAAGGAGATCGGCTAGTTGTGGGTCCCACTGATGATGGGAAGTTTCTGCGGCTGAAGGTGTGCAGTATTCACAGGAATCGCTCCGGATGCCGCGTCCTGAGGGCCGGACAGGCTGCCACGCTCGCACTTGGAAACTTTGATCGCTCGCTACTCCGAAAGGTCTGATCTGAAAATGACCAAAAAGTCTTTACATAGCCATGTCTTTGTAACAAGAGGAGTTTTAATAAGCATTTGTGTTTTTGTAGGGAATGGTCATGGTGAGTCCTAAAATGAACCCTACAATTTGCTGGCAGTTTGAGGCCGCCATTGTCCTCCTGTTCCATGCCAAGACTTTCCGCCGTGGTTTCCAGGTCACGGTGCACATAGGAAATGTCAGGCAGACCGCCACAGTGGAGTGCCTCCTTGGAAAGGTGGGGATTTGTTTCCTGACCTCAAAGAAATTTTGTATTTACTAATAGGGATGTCCAGATCCGATCACGTGGTTTCAGATTTACAATTGGATGTTACCTCCTGATCAGGACTCGAATATTTATGTATATAAATATGTTCTCATTATTTTTTAACACATCAATAGTTATGCGCTGGGACAGAGTTCAACCTCTTGCTTGACTTCACTCAGAAACAGCAACGTGAGTGGCATGACATCGCTTTGTTGCAGAGACGCTATTGGTTAAATGCTGGCAAAGTAGAACACGGAAGCAGCTTGAAGCGGAAAGCGCGAGTATGTCTGTGGTTTGGAGGTATTATAAAGTTGATGACCATAGCATTACCATAGCAAACCATGAGATATGTATACTTGGGATTGCCTACAGGGTATTTTTAGTGGGAAGCTATTTATTTTTATATTAGATTCTTTTATATTTACTAATGCTCTAAAATCCAAAAGTGAAGAATTGATGTTATTTATTACTTGATTGTTCAAGCTACCTCACAGAAGTGCTCTGTTTGTTAACATAGTTGATGAATGTTAAAATAAGGTGAATTAAATAAAAAGTAAGGAACATCCTGGATCTGTTTCCTAGCTCTTCTTTATTTGTTATTTTATGTATTGTAGAAGTATTGGATCAGGTTTCGGTTTCAGTAGATACTCAAAATCAAATGACTCGAACTCAAGGGCAAAAAAACTGATCGGGACATCCCTGTTTACAAACCTTGTTGTTGGTATTACCTCTTTGGAAGAATCTGTTCTGTGTGCATATTATCACAGAAATATGTCTGTGTTCGTCCTCTAGGAGGAGCTGCGGACTGGAGAGCGAGCCGTTGTGTGTTTCAGATTCTTGAAGCACCCAGAGTATTTGCGCGTGGGAGCCAAACTGCTCTTCAGAGAGGGGGTGACCAAAGGCATCGGACACGTGACGCACCTTCTACCCTCCACCCAGAACCACGTGCCTGATCAGAACCACAACCAGAACCACACTTAAACACGGTGGGAGTGACATCACAAATCGGAAGAAGACCCTTCCTGTTCTTGCCTTGAGTTTGCATCCCCTGGTTTTATTGTGCACTTTTCATTTCCACTCAAGAGTGTAGATTTGCTTATATTAATTGCAAATTTGCCTGTGCGTAAGTGCTCTCGGTTCCTGTGACATTTGGAGGGTTGTGCTACAGTGATTTACCGATTAATGTCTGCTGGGTGTAATGAAGCTTGGAAACCTCTCCTGTTTTCGCACATGTGCGTGCTTCCCATTTTAAGACAAAGCCGGCTGACCTTCAGTGAAGCATGTGGGATTTTGGGTCGCTAAGTTGGGTATCTGGAGCAAATTTCTACAGCAGCAACTCCTGGCTGCATTAGAGATATGCAATTATATTAGCTGCAGTTCTTCTTCAGATCTTCTCTAGTATTTAATAAATTATGTTATCCCAGAATAACTGGTGCACTTTAGATGTTTCATTTTGAGAAGGATTTGCACAGTAAAAATGTTAGTATAGACCTTAAGCCCAAAGTACACTTTGTCTTTTTACTTGATTGCTTTGCATAGTGGTGTCTATTCCTGTACCTGTAGGTCTAACATCTTGCAAAGTTTAGCTTGCACCAGGTCCAACACACAGGACTAGAAATTCTGAAAACCCAATTATTACGTAGCTCAAACCAGATCCAACACACAGGACTAGAACGTTCTGAAGACCAGATTACTCACCTAAACCGTATCTGACACACAGGACTAGAACATTCTGAAGACCTGATTAGTAGCTTGAACTAAATCTGACACACAGCACTAGAACGTTCTGAAGATCCGATTGGTAGCTTGAACCAGATCTGACACACAGGACTAGAACTTTGAAGATCCAATTATTAGCTTGAACCAGATTCGACACACAGGACTAGAACGTTCTGAAGACCCGATTAGTAGCTTGAACCAGACCTGACACACAGGACTAGAACGTTCTGAAGACCCGATTGGTAGCTTAAACCAAATCCGACACAGAGGACTAGAATGTTCTGAAGACCAGATTACTCACTTAAACCAGATCCGACACACAGGACTAGAACGTTCTGAAGACCCGATTAGTAGCTTGAACCAGATCCGACACACAGCACTAGAACTTTCTGAAGATCCGATTGGTAGCTTAAACCAGATCCTACACACAGTACTATAACTTTCTGAAGACCCAATTATTAGCTTGAACCAGATCCGACACACAAGACTAGAACGTTCTGAAGACCCGATTGGTAGCTTAAACCAGATCCAACACACAGGACTAGAACTTTCTGAACACCAGATTACTCACTTAAACCATATCTGACACACAAGACTAGAACGTTCTGAAGACCCGATTACTAGCTTGAATCAGATCTGGCAGAGGACTAGAATGTTCTGAAGACCCAATTATTAGCTTGAACCAGATGTGACACACAGGACTAGACTATTCTGAAGACCTGATTATTAGCTTAAACCAGTTCCAGCACACATGATTAGAATGTTCTGAAGAGCTGATTACCTTGTTTAGATGTTTTTTAAGGTAAGAGCTGAACTCTGCAGGTCACTGGGCCTCCAGGAGCAGGTTTGGACACCCCTGGTTTAGCATATGCATAAAGTTGTGGCTTATTGGTTAAAGAGTCGGAAATGTAAATCAAGGGACACAAGTTTTATTCCAAGTACCAGCAGGAGTTGTAGGTGAGGAGGAGTGATTAAATGACACTTTGTTCTACCTTTAGTACCCACATCTGATATGCCCTTGAGTAAGGGACTGAACCCCCGATTGCTCCCCAGTTGCCTCAGCAAATGGCTGGCAAAGTTTCATCTTTGTCCTGGATTTGTGCTATTTCTTCCCATATGTAATGTCCTGTAGAACTCTTAGTATCGAGGGAGCTGGATGCCCCTTTATTGCTGTCCGAATGCATTCAACGACATTTCAGTTTATAACAATGAACCCATTTAAACTATTTTGACTTTGCCTTTGGAAGTGGTTAAAAGTGGACAAGCTTAAAACATATTAGACCTGACTGACCCACTTGAGATCAGAATGAGAAAAAAATTGGCTTCTGTGTGTACCCTGTTGGCTTGGTTTCGTCACTTTAGTTTTTGTTTTCATGTTCTGATTTTACAACCAATCAGAGCGCTCACTTTCCCAGATGACCGGTGCCAATTCTACATGATGAATCAGGCCAACTCGCTTCAACATTAACCCGATGAGATGCGATGTGTGGAACACACCAAACAAACTAGCCTAACACATGTTCAACAAGTCCGACTGACGGCTTGGTGTGTCTCGGCCTTTAAAGAAAAAGTTCACCCAAAAATTATAATTCAGATACAGCCAAAACATTTAGACACACCCATCTTCACCCCGTCAGAGGCTATTAATCAGTAATATGCCGCATTGTTAAATATTTTATCTTTAATTTCATTTTAGACAACCATCCAGGTTTAGTTCACGTTGTTTGGTTTTGTTTCAGTGCATGTTTGTTGACATGACAGAATATCGCCCCATCTTTCTGACATAAAAGGAGGTTTAGGAGCTTCTAGGGTTGTAGAATCAGTCAGGCATGACTGGGTTGTAGAGATCTAGATTAAATTGTGCCTAATCATATGTTTGTCTTCACTGATATCAATCCAAAACAATTGTGCATATTGCACACTTATATTTAAGCAAATATTAGCAAGGTTTAGGTCATTTCAGATGGCTTACAGGGTTAACTGAACATTTATGGCAGCTTTGTGTGATCAGTATTCGTCTTGGGCATGCACAGGAACCCAGCTAATGATTGTGTTGTGTGTCTTGTTCACCCATGTGCACTCCTGTTCAAGATTTTGTGCAATTTAAAAAAAAACATTGAATGTACTGATCATAGATATAAATGTACCATTTGAAGTTACTAAACTAAATATAGCTAGTTTTATTTAGCTGCATTGGGCATCATGCATGAAACTGAAACAGAACACATTTGCGATCGTAAATTGTCGGTACAACTGTTCTTGCACAGGTTTCCGCATTCATTTTTGTTTCAAGAATAATTTTATGTACTTTTTTAGTACATATAAAACCAAACCGTGCTCTTTCTGAAAACATACGGCTATATATATTTCTGGAGTGTGGCAAATATGTACCAAGGGGTACGTTTATTTGCAGTTTTTGCGAATCCACCAGAGGTAGCATACATGGCAAGCTAACTGGACAAAATGGTAACGGGAAAGCCGTCCATATTTAGGTAAGTAGTCAGCTGGTGCAAACAGCATCATTCTGCCCTGTAGCATTCGTTTTAAACACAAAATGCAGCCTTAAGTACTTCTGGCTACATAATTCACGATCTCCAGAAATGTTTACAGGGCTATGTTTTCAGAATGAGCCTATGTTGTACAAAGCAAATAGTTCTGCTTGTGTTTTATAAATGAAGCCCAATCTCTTTCATAAATTCAGCTTTTGGTCAACAGTGCATGTTGTGCTTACGAAAATATTAATTCACATTGTTTGAAGTGCAGCTGGTTGGCTTATAATGTTTGGAATGTATCTTCATTTGATGTACTTTTAAAAAGAAAAGACTTCAAAAACCTGCAAACCTGACTAGTCTATTGCTTCGCTATTAGTTCCTATACCAGTATAATAAAGAATTACTGTTCTTGTGGAACCTCGTCTGTTTATTAAAAACTCAGAAATCTAAAATCATTCCGCATTTGTCTATACCAATGACGCAGTTCTTAGTGTGTTGACACTCCAGTGCTCACGGTGACCCAAGTTCAATTCCCGCCTCGAGGTCCAATGCCTATCTTTTCCCACTCTCTGCTCCCTATGTTTTCCTTTCCAATACACTCTACTGTCCTATCAATTAAAAGTGAAAACCTCGAAAAAATCTAATAAATAAAACAATCATCCAACATTTTAAATTTGTGCAACTCTCTGAAAGATACCTTCATTGTACAATACTTTGTGGGAGTTACGTTCTAAAAATAACACGCAATAGGCAAAGTCATCGGCTCCATTTTTTACAGTAAAACCCCTCACTACACAATTTATACACTTTTCTCAGACAGGCATTAATACTCTGTAATGTTAAAACACTCTCAAAGAAAAATAAGTCCAGTATTATAGAACAAAACCAAAGATCAAAACCTGTTGTCAGGCACAAACATTCATCGTTGTCTTTTGTGCGGATAATGTTGGCATCCAGCGTAATGTTCTTTTTCCTGCAGTCACTGATCAACAAAACTTTTGCAGGCTCCATCCTTAAGTGGGTCGCACATCGAATGCGCAGCACAAATGAAAGTTGGAAATAACATACATCGGAAGCGCATATTAGCTTATTATTTAAAATGAAATGATTCAGATGGCGCTCTGTGGTGCGGCAGATATGAACAATGTCCTGAGTCATAGCTGGGAGCCACAGACAGCCGCTGAATTGCGCTGCCAGTGTGCGTACCCTGATATAATGGCCCGTTTCCACTAAGTGGTATAGTACGGTAGTCACTCTCACGTTTGTTTGTTTCAAACAGAACCGGATATCAAAAGTGCTTCGGTAATCACCCACATGTTATTTTTCATCAGCTCAAGAAGTTATTCTCAAATATAGACACACATACGGCGAGAAAGCAAAACTGTTCGCGCTTTGAACGTCCTTTAAAAAAACTACAGGCCACTGGGCAGATTCTGGTCTTCTTCTTGGCATTGTAGCTGTTCATCAAGACGAAGACAAGGTTTGTTTAAGTTCGGATCAATCATGGCTTGTTATTATATATATATATATATATATATATATATATATATATATATATATATATATATATATATATATATATACATATAAAACATGGTGCTTCCTTTGTTTTCATTCTGGCTTGTCCACGAGCAAGTGACGCATCTCTGTAAATCAATATCATTCATTTTGTTGTGCTAGGTACCCTTATCTAGGAGTGCCCAATAAGTGGTACGGTACGGTTCGCTTTTAGGTACCTTTTGACAGTGGAAACGGCCATACCACATCACTCAGTGGAAACGGGCCATATCTTACCACTTTTTGGGTACCCTTTGCAGAGTGTACCTAGCACAGCAAAAGGGTGCCAAAAGGCGGAGCAAGATGTGCTGAACACTATTGGTTTACAGAGATCAATCGCCAATGCAACTAGCCAGAAGAATGAAAACAATGTAAGCAACATTTTTAAATACACAGCTGAGACATTAAACCCTGATAATATATACATATAATAACAAGCCATGGTCGACACGAGCTCAAACAAACCTTGTTGTCGTCTTGATGAACAGCTACAAAGACAAGAAGAAGAGCAGAATCTAGCTTGTTCCCCATAGTTTTTTACAGGGCTGTCTAAAGTGCGATCGGTTTTGCTTTCTTGCTTGCGTCTATATTTGAAATAGCAAACTTCTTGAGCTGATGATAATAACGTACGTATGATTATTGAAGCTCTTCTGAGATCCGATCCTTTCAGAAACAGACAAACGCGAGAGTGAAGCCCAAAAAAAAAACATGCCATGTTTAACTTTTATCATCAGCTTTTGGACTATTATGAACTCAGAATGACGGAATTACTTTCTAACACAGGCTACATGTGATGCTGAAGATTAAAGACACAGATGACAGGTTTGCTCTGACTGTAGACTATATGTTGTGAGTTGTTTTTGAACCTAAATAAGGACTAGATGTACACTGTTTGTAGTTTTTCTTTGGTTGATAACACATCGGAGACTGTAAGGGTCTGTATGTGTTCATATATGTTGCATTTATTTATTTATTTTATATAATTGCAGACGTTACAGTAGGCTATTTCTAACTTTAATCGATCTGCAGCTATAATCAAATATTGTTCATTGAAAAGTAAGTACATGAACATTTATACACAAGTATTTATGTGTTTAAAGCATCAGTTTTTTGAAAAGTGTCTCTCATACGATATGTGAACGACCCATACAGCTGTAGACATTTCCTAGAGCCAGAATGACATTGCCTGAAACTTTCTGTCGTACACCACGGCACGCCCACAAACAGCGTACAATTGGTACCCTTCTAGCAGTGGAAACGCAAGCCTGATAAAGGTGACCAGTATGCATATGCATTACCATAATGTATCATTTTTATGAACCAGAACAGAGGTGGGTAACGAGTTACATATACTTCATTACATTTACTTGAGTAAATTGTTGGGTAATGTGTACTATTTAAGTACATTTAAAAATGTGTACTTTTACTCTTAAGTAAATTACTAGAAAAAAATCATCACTCTTATTTCGCTAAATTTGGCAGCGTTAATAATAAATATGATTTACATGACTTGTTTGCAAATATCGCAAGGCGCCGTATGTATGTATATAGCCAACACTCTGAAACCATGGTCATATATATATATATATATATGTGTATATATGTGTATATATATATATATATATATGTGTGTGTGTGTGTATAAATATATATATTTATACATTTTTACATTATACATATTTATTTATACATTATACATTTATACATACATTTATACATTATATATATATTTATACACACACACACACACACACATATACATATATATATATATATATATATATATATATATATGACCATGGTTTCAGAGTGTTGGCTATCGTTTTATAGCCTAGGCCATCTTTATGTAAGGCAACAATTTGTTTTTCAGGTCTTCTGAGAGTTGTTTGCCATGAGGTGCCATGTGGAACTTTCAGTGACCTGGTTGAGAGAGTGGAAGATCTTTTATACCAAATTTAACTCACCTGCTATCTGTGGATACCCGAGACAGTGTATTACTTATGAGTTTTATGACACAGGGAAAGAAAAATGACTAATTGTGCTCAGTTTTGACATTTTCACTTACGGGTGTACTCACTTTTGTTGCTAGGGGTAACATTTTGTAGTTTTTTTGAGAGGACAATAAATGAACACTGCAATACACACTTTACACTGACTACTATTCATTGTGTCAGTATTTTCTGCAGTATTGTCCTATGAAAAGTTAAAAATAAATATTTGCAGAAATGGGAGGGGTTTACTCACTTTTGTGACATACTGTAAATATACACACACACACACACACACACACATATACATATATATATATATATATGGGAGGTGGGAGGTGGGAGTTGGCACGAGGCCATAGGCCAAGTGCCTTAGCGTCCTACCAGTGCTGATATACAGCTTTATCGCACTGCTACGAGTGTGATATTGCGTTTATACAGCAGTTCAACATTACAATCCTGTATATAAATGAGAAAATCAAACACGGAGAGTATAAAAACCCTTTTTTTATTAGGAACTACTTTCTTCCACCATTCATTCTCATCTGCAGCTGACGTCAAAACAGCAGAAGCCGTTATTAATTCCCCAACGTCACTTTAGAGCTAGTGTTTGAATGACTGTCTAAAGTGATGACAAAACGGCTGATTTTGCTAACACTTTTAAGATTATAAGGCTGAATGTGACATAAAATGCCAGCCGTCTACAGAGATACCTTCTTACAGTGTTACAGTCTACAGTTTTCTCTGTTGCAATCAGGATTTCACAATAAAATAACAAAAAAAATAACATTGAATCCACTAACGTTACCACACTGCTGTTGTGTTTGCGATAAGGAAAAACGCTAAACACATGCGGACTTTGCTTATTTCAATCTGCCAACACAACACACACTCCTGATATGTGAGCAAATTGGTATAAATACAGCACTACAACATACAAAAAGAGAGATCATCTTACCTAACAACATGTCTCTGAAAACCCAGGAGACAGGGGAGAGAGGGTGTTCGGGGTGAGGTTGAGAACCGGGATAGGATGCAGCTGGTTTTGGGCGGCAGCTTTAATCGGGTACTGTACCAAAGTTAGCAACCCTGGGGTGTTTAATTTACTGACTGTACCAAAGAGGGGAGTAGGTGAACAACAGGAGTTTTTTTAAAGAAAGAAATAAAAACTGCATGTTTGTTTTTAACAATCTAAACAGCTATATTCTCGAAAAAAGTCTCAAGAGTATATGTTGTTGTCTAACGGCAGTAATATTTGTCAGACTGTAGTGTCTGCTTGTTGCTGGCTGTATGTGGGCGGAGTAATACGTAAAGGGTAAAGAGGCTGTATGGATGCTGATATTACTTAAATATATCATGGCTATCAGCCAATAAGATTCGAGATCCAGACATAACTGTTGTATGTATGTTTGTATGTATGTATGTATGTATATATATATATATATATATATATATATATATATATATATATATATATATATATATATATATATATATATATATAGTTGAAATCAGAATTATTAATTAATAATAATTAATATTAATTTATTAATTATTATCAATTTTTTTTCTTTTTTTAAATATTTCCCAAAAGATCTTTACCAGAGCAAGGACGTTTTCACAGTATGTCTGATAATTTTAATTTTTTTTTTCTGGAGAAAGTTTTATTTGTTTTATTTCTGCAAGAAAGCAGTTTTTAATTTTTAAAACCCATTTTAAGGTCAAAATTATTAGCCCCCTTAAGCAATTTTTCCCCGACTGTCTATAGAACAAACCATCATAATACAATAACTTGCCTAATCCCTTTACCTGCCTAGTTAACCTAATTACCCTAGTTAAGCCTTTAAATGTCACTTTAAGCTGTAAAGA